TATAAAGTTGGATCAAGAGACCAGTAGTGAAAGTCTTTAAGGAGTTTGTAGAAGTATGCATATGGGAGGCCAAATCAGACAGAGGAAGGCAGAAATGGATAGAGAATGCGTGAATGTTAATTATGACTATCTAGTTTGGATCAATCATTAAACGATCAAGGGGACTGACAAGTCTTTTGGTGTTGATGCCTTAGGCTCTTGTTCTGGACAGTAGCCAGCATGTCTATCCATGCAGACATTTTTCTTCCTTTCAGTCTCTCATGAAGGCACATTATGCATAACATAACATATATTAGAAGTACAAATAAGGTTTCTAAAATGTAAATATCGGAATAACAGACAAGTCCACCCTTTTCTTATGACAATCTTAATATTTACTTCTTAAAAATAACTCTATCTGCAGCTAAACTGGTTTGTGTTTATTAGTCAGTGATTGGTCTTCCTTTATGCCACAGTTCCAATAAGTGAATTACCAGTCAAATTACATGATGGTGAGAGTTTTCTAAAGCGACCCTCGGGCTCTGTTCCTTGTTTGACCCAGTGTTTTGATCACTGGAGAGAAGCAAAGTTTACTACAAGGTCTTGAGGTCAAGTTTGGGAACTGTTTTGGTTGTCAGCAAGACAGGCCAGGTGGAATGGAGTAACCATATAAGACACATGTTTTAATCATAATCAACCCTAGACAATATTTGTATTAGTCAAAATAACAAAAATGAAAACATATGTAACAATCAGAGAAATGTAAAGCTATTAGACCTTTCCAATTCTAGACCAGACTTAATATGTTCAGTGCACCAACAAGTAAGATATTTATTTTCAAAGGTTCCTCTGAGCCTCTTTATACAGTACATTGCAAACAATTACAGAATATATGCAGTTTATTCATCTTTGGGAGACAACATCTAATTTAACATCTCTTGATTGACTTAGCTTGCTCACATAAAAGATAAACAGGCTGCCGACATTTTAGAACAAGCCACTGCATAACTTTAAAAAACTGTTTTTCTTACAAATTATTTGCTTCACTCCACCTTCACTTTTGTTATGGTACAATTTGTATGAAATTGCATCTTTTTCCAGAAAGAAAGGCTATTTTGGTAAACCATGGAGCCGTTTTGGCAGATGTGTCATCCCCTCATCTTGAGCACATGTCCCTCCCTCCAAATGTGTGTTTGTGGTAATGTCTACAAATTTTTAAATTTATGTCCCTGCTGGAAAACATGGTTTGCCGTTTATAGCCCCCCACTAAAAGAAATAAGACCTGTCTTCTCTGATACAAGTCAAAAGGACTGATGCGGACTCTATCAGATTTCTAAACACAGACCTCAACAATAAATCCTGACTTGATTGGGTTTGAATTGGGTTAACTCACTTGAATGCTATCTGCTTAACCCACAGCTGGCCTGTCTGCTCTGTGCAGCCATTGAACCTAAATCAGTCATTTACTGCTCTCAAATGGAACAATGGTGGAGTGGAGAGAGCACTCAAGCTATAGGGCTAGAAGCCAGGCCTAGCGCCATAACGCAACACAACAGACCAGAACAGAGTACTGCCGAGCAGACAGGCTCTCTAATGCTGTTTCCTTTTTGTGTCTCAGCGGTGATGCTTCCTGAGAGCCATGCTGCATTGCATGAAATGGCATCATCCAAACCAACGCACAAACACCTTTTCAAGCTTTTGTCTTGTCTTGTCAGCTTGATTTCACGTGCTAATTGGTGTAGGATGGTAGCATGGCTAACCTAAGAAAACCTATTTCCATGCCAGCCAAAATACATACTCACGCATACCACGTCAGAGAATTTAAGCAGGTGTGCTTAACCAAAGTGACGTAGTGTATAGAGCCGGAATCCATTGTGTTTCTATCATCACTATACAGCTTGGTTTATACAATTCTGGTGAGGGGCAATAATTAGGTCATATGCACACTTCCTGTGGCCACTTGAGGGGAAAATGATGTTTTCTATCTGTTTTTCTACATTAATGATCTAAATGTCTAATTTTTGCAATGATTGCATATTCACCAAAAAAACTATTTACACCATATTTTTTCCACACCTGTTTGATTTTCTGAATGGTTGCAAAAAGCTGCTACCTGTCCCTGGCAGTCGTAGACAAGAGGAGAGGTATTTCGTGGATAGGTTGCTAGTTCATTACAGGAAACTAACTTACAACCACGGTAAAATGTACCTGGTAGGTGCTTCTCACCTTAACTCAAGAAGTCCTGATGCATCTCAGTAATCCAGGTAGAAAAAATCAAAAAGAAAAATAGGTCCTCTGGATGGGTTCTTCTTTAGTGAAACGTTTCGTCTCTCGTCCAAAAGACTTCTTCAAAATAATCTAATCAAGCCTATTGTTAGGCGATGGCCCTCTTTTGCATGTGAGGGCCATCGCCTAACAATAGGCAATATGCCTTTTGTTAGGCGATGGCCCTCTTTTGCATGTGACTAAGCTGTTTGTCCATGTGGAGGCAGTGCTTATAAGGCTGAGTTCACCTGAAACTCATCAGACTGAAGAAGTCTCTTGGAGGAGAGACGAAATGTTTCACTAAAGAAGAACCCATCCAGAGCACCTACTTATTTTTCTTTTTGATTAGCTCAAGAACAACCTGCCAGAGTGATCAGAGTTTACAGTGTTATATTGCAAGATAAACATATTGTTCAAACACACAAACACAACAATAGCTTGTTTGATTTCTGTAATTGTCCTTTCCTAACTGAGAAGAGAAGCTTGATGACATGACGTTGCTCAGTTGACATTCATTTACTGAAGCAGTAAGAGTTGGTTTTGTTGAATAGATTGTACTGAACTGAACTATAGTTTACCTAAGATTTTATTTTCTCAACCTATTTTAAAAATAGTGAGGATCACTAATGAAAAGAAAACATTACTGCTGTGTCCTCTGGACCTGATACATAATGCAAGTTGGAAAAAGTTGTAATAAGTTTCTTTGACCACGACTGTATTTAAAGGAAGAGGTCAGAGTCGTTCGCACTCAGTTGGGTTTCCTCCTAGAGAGAAAAAAGGGGGAGGAAATCAACGTACACATGCTATCCAAATAGACTGATTGCTGCCTCGCAGAGGTGCTGATTACTTAAAAAACTCAGGTAATCAGTTAACCCCAGTGTGGGCCGAGGCCAAGCCAGAGGCAAAGCGCAGCTGAGGCGATTTCACTAATGAGAGTCTAAATTAGCGTTGAAGAGATGCATCCCAGCATCCCTCCTTTAACCCTACACACATGCGCGCACACACTCGCTTTCCAGACTCCCTGACATTTTAACAATGAGGGCCTTTCTACTTACAGGGTTGTCTGCTTTGCACTTTATGCTATGTCTCTAATTACAAGTGTGGTAATGGCTCCACTGTTTTCTCAGCGAAGTGCCTAGAGTTGTGTTTGGCTAACCGTTTAAAAGTGTAGGGGTGACACCGATACACCTCTCCTTCAGCACGACCCTGCCACTCATGGTCTGCTCAATGAGTTTGCCTTTTTATTCTTTCTCTTTCAGTATTTTTAGACGAATCATAATTACATGGCCAATTAGGGGGTCACCTTGAAAAACTTCCCTCTCTTTATGACTGATAGAATGCATGTGTGTGGTTTGTGGGTTTGTGTAGTGTTCTCTGGTGTGAGTCAGCTCTGTTAAAGGGGTAATATTATGTGTTTCTCAGGCATACATTTAAATACTATACCATAATAAAGTATCTATGTCACCTTTAGCTGTTAGTAAAATGCTGTTTTTATGTTTAAACAGAAAATAAACTTATCTTCTCATCACTTCCTCTTCTAAACGCCTTGAAATTGGCCTCTGTATCTTTAAAAACCACCTTCTACTTTTGTCCCGTCCCATTTCAGTGGGGTGGGGGGTGTCGCGGGATGCAGTTTACTTGGCATCTGAAAATACATTTCCTCAAAGGTATTTTGAATCTGAAAAGAGCTTCACTGAGTGAGAAATAGTGTTTAGAGCAGCAGACAGTTAAGTTTCACTTTCAATTTGCTTTGTTACTGCTGAGAGCCTGCAGGAGTCATGGGCGGGGTGTGTGGGGTGGGTGGTGGGGAGGTGTGCTCTGTGATGAGGAAGTTCAGCTTAAAGACACGTCTCAGAGGCGTTTCTGGTCCCCACCTGTCGTTTTGCTTCTCAGCATGGCTGCATAAAAGTGCTGCAGGATTTCTCAAAAATGAGTGAATGAGTCAAAGCAAGGCTTTGGGCATGTTTTTTATGACAGTATAACACTATAACATGATATAAAACTCAAAAAGTTGATTTTACATGATATTGCCCCTTTAAATTTGAAATCATGGTCTTTGCTCTAAATAAAAGCATAATTTGTGTAAATTTAGCCGTTTATGTCAGGTCAAAGGGTTAACACGTGCAGGTATTATAAAGGCAAAATATTTTTGAATGTGTGTGTGTGTGTGCATATTTGTTAGTGTAAAACTTTGTCAGAAAATGCAGTGGGCGATATGCAGTCTTTTATGTAATGCGAAGCCTTGCAATTTCCTTCTTTTTGTTAATATGATGAATAAGATTAGACACCATTAGATGTTCCAGCCTTCACCAGTAAACCCTCTCAGGGAGGGAAAAAGCTTCCATGATCTTCACACATGGATGACTTCAAGTTAAATGACCTACATAACGTGTTACACGCCCCGCTAGCTGCCATGTCTCACCCTGATGCAGAAGAGCAGCACATTACAGGTGTGTCAGCCTCCCATACATGCACATGGACACATAGAGGGGGGAGTCATAAACAAAGCATCCATGTGGATTATACAGCTCATATGATCCCAAACACAACCTGCCTCTTTACCTGCTACAGTTCAGCTCTCATAGGACTCATACTTTACTCCAGTGGAGCTCATATGACTGCGGTTTCATAAAAGCGTTCCCTTTTTCTGTTTTTACCTTTTCTTTCTTATTAAGGTGAATTATGTGATTAAAAATAAAAACAGAGCTTATGGTTCCCGAAACTCTATTTCTGCTGTTATGTGTTTGACTGCGTAGGTGGCTGTTTACGACTACATCTGGACTTCAGAGGACCCCCCAATGGACTCTGCAGCCCCTGATGATGAGCCCCAGAGTGAGGGTGCCCCTCCAGCTGAGGGTGAAACCCACATCGTAATCTACACCCTGTACCTGAGTGGACTGAAGCAGAAATACAGACACTTCCTACGACAACCGGATGGAGCTATCACTGAGGTCAGATAAGTAAAATGGAAAATAGAGGTTGTGCTTTAAAAAAAATAAATTCTGCAATTAAGAGCTATTGTTTTCCTGGTTATATACAGCGGATAAAATAAATATTGAACACGTCACCATTTTTCTCAGTAAATATATTACAAGAGGCGCTAATGACAAGAAATTTTCACCAGATGTCGGTAACAACCCAAGTGATCCATACATACAAAGAAATCAAACCATAAATGTCCAGAAATGAAGTTATTTGTAATAATGTGG